TTGAAGGGTCGGTGCCACTGGAATCGCACGCAAACGTGACAATCAAAATGGTCTCCGGAGGAATGCCTCTGTTTAAGCACCAGTATTACGCAGTGTCTGTGATCGAGAGCCACCCGCCCTCAGTGCCGTTCCTTACGATTAACGCCGACAGCCCTCACGGCCGGCAACTCATCTATAGTATAGTGTCCGGTAATGACAACGAAGAGTTCTCATTGGACTTCAACTCAGGTATGTTTTGGCGATAGGTTTTTGACGATAATGTAGTTTTGTAGTGATTTCTAGTTTTTACAGATTTCTGTGTAATCTGATTGTAATTTTAGATTTTTATGTTTAGATGCGTTAATGAATTTAGTTTTTAATCATTTTTTCCTTGACTTTCATTTTTATGTTCACTATTTTTTTGATTTCTTTTTTCTCTAATCTTTTGGTGGTTTTACTTATTACTCGTTTCTCTCAATATATTATTGCATTGTTTTGATTGCGAATAAAAGATCCGACGATTAGTAGCGGTTTATGTGAGTATTTCGCGATTGAAATACATTTTGAAACATATTTACAATTTAATTGACTTTTTTCGTGTTTGTCTGCAATGTTGCGATTTTAAAACACTTTTGTTTGCACTAACCGTACGTTTCTCAAGGCATCGCTTGCTTAGAGCCACCGCTCCTTTAATCCAATATTTATTTTTGCATTAATTCTCGTTGTATTGAAAAATGTTTTTTTCCAAAAGTTTAATCACTTTTCACGTGTGATAATAGGTATGATATCTGTGATCGAGAAACTCGATCGCGAGTCCATCAGTCAATACAATCTAATCATCTCTGGCACCGATTCCGTGTCCGGTGTGTCGGCTACCGTTCCACTCGTTATAACAGGTATACAGTATAATAATCCCTATATTGATACCCGAGTCTAATGCCGGTCTCCCCCTCACCTATACAACCAGTGGATGACGCCAATGACAACCCACCCATGTTTACAAAGTTCTCGTACAATGTGTCGGTGCCGGAGTCGGCGCCCATAGGCGCTAATGTGGTCAAAGTGAGCGCTACCGACGCCGATGTGGGCCTTAACGCCAAACTCCAGTATCAGATTCTGGGAAATAAGTCCCACTTCTATGTCTCGCCCGACGACGGAAACATCTATTTGAAGACAAATCTGGATCACGAGACGGATCGCGTCCACCACTTCACGGTTATGGCCACCGATTACGGCACGCCTGTCCTCACGTCGACCGCTCACGTATGGGTGGAGGTGTTGGACGTGAACGACAATAAGCCGATAGTTTCGCCCACTTTTACGGCCACTATAGACGAGAACATAGAGAGGGGAGAGTTTGTCACCAGAATCGTGGCCAACGATCCGGACTCGAGTGATATAAACAAACTGCGGTTCCGGATACTGTCGGGCAATGAGCACCTGGCGTTCGCCATGAATGACACGTCCGGTGTGGTGACCGTCTGGAACCTGAACTCGAGGAAACAGCTCAAGAGAGTGCATCAGATCTACGACCTCAACATATCGGTGACGGACGGCGTCTACTCGACCACCACTAACCTCAGGGTAACCGTAAAGCCGGCGAACAATAATTCGCCGAAATTTCACCGCATCTTCAATAATGTGGCCATAAGTGAGTTGACGGCGACGGACACGACGATAGCGCAGTTGACGGCGTCGGACAGGGATGAGGGCGCGTACGGTGCGCTCAGTTATCACATCATCAACGACAACGCCAAACGATACTTCAATATCGACTCCACGTCCGGCAATATTACGCTCCGGTCTCCGTTGGATCGCGAGAGCGGTGACCGACTGTTTTGGCTGACGATCGGCGCCCAGGATGGGGGCAAACGGATTGGCCTCTCGAACCTCCGGGTGTCGGTCACCGATGAGAACGACAACTCTCCGCGTTTTATAGTCGATGAGTACAAGTCTGTCATCTGCGCCAACGCCCCGATCGGTGTGACTGTACTGCCGGTGATGGCCGTCGACGACGACGACTTTCCCGAGAATACAGTCATTCGGTACGCGATATACGAGTCGCGAAACGCCAGCCAACCCACGGCTGAGGTGTTGGACATGTTTGGCATCACCGCAGACACCGGTCACGTCTACACGAAGAGGAATCTGTCGGCTAATGTCGGAGATATCGTACAGTTCTTCATCAAAGCCAGCGATGGCGGGAACCGGAAGACGATGAGGGCGTTGGAGGACGTGGTGCCCGTCAGTATGCAGATCACAGGCTCGTGTCCTTTCGTCAAACGCCAGACCTCTGTCTACGAGATCTTCGTCGACGAGAACACCAAACGCGGGACAGTCATAGCGAATGTGAATCTCGCGGGTCTTAAGGAAGTGAAACTGGCGATCGTGGGCTTCGGCGATAAGTCCGATGCGACTAAATTCCGAATCGACAAACTCGGAGGAATACATCTGATCGAGCAGTTGGACAGGGAGTCGAAGGCGAAGCACGTGCTGACCGTCGAGGTGAAGGATAAGCTCACGTTTGCCATCAGTTATCTGAATATCTTGATCAACGTTATGGACCAAAACGATTGTATCCCGTATTTTGACTCGTCGTCCTATAATGCGGTGATCTCTGAGGGCCAGGAGGTCGGCGCGTCGATCATGAAAGTGAATGCCATCGATGGGGACATAGATGTGGCCAATAATGCCCTGAAGTACAGCCTAAGAGACAGCGAGAACGGTATGTTTAGTATAGACGAGAACACCGGTTGGATAACACTCGGGAAGCGCTTGGATCGCGAAAAGAGGTCCTCCCATAACCTGACTGTAGGTGTGAGCGACGGCACGCACTATAACTCGACCACTTTTAACATCGAGGTCTACGATGTCAATGATAATGAGCCGATTGTCAACCAGAACTACATGGCCTCCATCTACGAGAACAGTCCGTTGGGAACGATCATCGTGTCGGTCGACGCCGTAGATAACGACCAGAACTCGGAACTCAGTTATTATATACTGAGCGGCGATGCATACAATCAGTTTGAGATCCGGCAAAACGGCGAGATTATCGTGAATAAGGCGTTGGACAGGGAGTCGATCGAGAGGTACGACTTGGAGGTTGTGATCACCGACGGAAGGTTTACCGCGAAAACGATGGTTACGATCGACATATTGGATATCAACGATAACGGACCCATTTGTCTGAAGTCAAAGTACGTGGAGTTAGTGAGCGAAGCGGTCCCTCCGGGGACATACATACTGACAGTGGAGGCCACGGATGTCGATGACGGCGATAACGCCAAACTGTATTACTTTATCTCCGGCGACGCGGAGAAGCACTTCGCAATTGATCCACAGTCGGGACACCTGAAGACTAAGGATTTGCTGGACAGGGAAACTCGCGCCTCATATCTGTTTGAAGTGCATATCAGCGATGAGAAGCGCCGGGACTGGACGTGTAAGAGTGAAGTGGAGATACTGCTCAGGTATGGACAGCCTATCAATTGTATGGTAATTGTTTGCATTAATTGTGTCTTTTGATTGATCCCTGAAGTGATGTGAACGACGAATCGCCCAAATTCTCCAACACTTACTACTCCGTCAACGTTCCCGAAGACTCGACGGTCGGCATAATCATCGGCAAAGTGACGGCCACTGACGCCGACCTCGGCATCAATCGGCGCGTGCGGTACGCCCTTCAGACGGCTGTCGACGAATTTGAGATCGACGACAGGAATGGTATCATTCGGTTGGCGAAGACGTTGGACAGAGAGACCAAATCGGCGTACAATCTGACGCTTAAAGCCTACGATTCCGGTGCGTCTCAACTCTTCTCGACCGCCACTTTCGTGGTGAACGTAATGGACATCAACGACAACGCGCCCGAGTTTGAGATGCAGTCCTATCTGACAAATGTGTCCGAAAGCGCTCCCATTGGCGATGAAGTGCTCAAAGTGTACGCCACGAGCAAAGACACCGGGATTAACGCCGAGATTAAGTACCACATCGTGAGCGGCAACGAAAACGGCAGCTTTTCTATACACCCCAAGTCGGGCATCATATCTGTGGCCAAAGCGCTGGACTACGAGACGGTTCGCGAGTACTTCATGACTGTGAGGGCCGAAGACGGCGGCATACCGTCCCTCACGAGCGAAGCGCACGTAACCATACGGGTGACGGATGTTAATGATATCAGCCCTCAGTTCGTGCAGCGCTCNCACCGACGGAAGGTTTACCGCGAGAACGATGGTTACGATCGATATACTGGACATCAACGATAACGGACCCATTTGTCTGAAGTCAAAGTACGTGGAGTTAGTGAGCGAAGCGGTCCCTCCCGGGACATACATACTGACAGTGGAGGCCATGGATGTCGATGATGGAGATAACGCCAAACTGTATTACTTTATCTCCGGTGACCCGGAAAATCACTTCACAATTGATCCACAGTCGGGACACCTGAAGACTAAGGGTTTGCTGGACAGGGAAACTCGCGCCTCATATCTGTTTGAAGTGCACATCAGCGATGAGAAGCGCCGGGACTGGACGTGTAAGAGTGAAGTGGAGATACTGCTCAGGTATGGACAGCCTATCAATTCGTGTGGTAACTGTTTGCGTATTAATTGTGTCTTTTGATTGATTTCTGAAGTGATGTGAACGACGAATCGCCCAAATTCTCCAACACTTACTACTCGGTCAACGTCCCCGAGGACTCAACGGTCGGCATAATCATCGGCAAAGTGACGGCCACTGACGCCGACCTCGGCATCAATCGACGCGTCCGGTACGCCCTTCAGACGGCTGCCGGCGACGAGTTTGAGATCGACGACAGGAATGGTATCATTCGGTTGGCGAAGGCGTTGGACAGAGAGACCAAATCGGCGTACAATCTGACGCTTAAAGCCTACGATTCGGGCGCTTCGCAGCTCTTCTCGACCGCCACTTTCGTGGTGAATGTGATGGACATCAACGACAACGCGCCTGAGTTTGAGATGCAGTCCTACGCGACAAATGTGTCCGAAAGCGCGCCCATTGGCCACGAGGTGCTCAAAGTGTACGCCACGAGCCAAGACACCGGGATTAACGCCGAGATCAAGTACCACATCGTGAGCGGCAACGAAAACGGCAGCTTTTCTATACACCCCAAGTCGGGCATCATATCTGTGGCCAAAGCGCTGGACTACGAGACGGTTCGCGAGTACTTCATGACTGTGAGGGCCGAAGACGGCGGCATACCGTCCCTCACGAGCGAAGCGCACGTAACCATACGGGTGACGGATGTTAATGATATCAGCCCTCAGTTCGTGCAGCGCTCCTACGATATTGTGATCCGCGAAGACTCGGTGATCGGCGACCGGATTATACAACTGGTGGCCATCGACTCGGATTCGCCGGAGAACTCGAACCTCAGCTACTCGTTCACCGGCGGCTCCCAGACGTACAAAGAGTTTCACATCGACCCGATCTCTGGCATCATAACTGTGGCCAAGGCTTTGGACCGCGAGATGATCTCATCCTATATTCTCGAAGCCGTTTGTAATGATAACGGAAAGCCTAAACCCCTCTCGAACTCCGTGTTCGTCAACATTGAGATATCCGACGCCAACGACAATCCACCCGTTTTTGACAAAACTAATTACACGGTTTACGTACAGGAGGGCCGACCCGCCGGCTACTCAATTGTCAACTTCAATGTACAGGACGCCGACAGCGCCGCCAATTCCGGGCCATTCACTCTTAAGCTACTGTCCGGCGATTCAAACGACAGCTTTGTTTTGGTGAACGGAGACACGTCGTTGCGGACCAACACTGTGTTCAACCATTCATTGCGAGCCAACTATTCGCTGACAATCCAAGTGACAGACTCGGGAACACCTGCCCTCAACTCGACGACAGCTGTACTCGTTTTGGTGACACAGGAGCCGAGGATTCCGCCACAATTGATACACCTGTCGATTGCGGTGAACTCTTTGGAACAATTTCCCGGCGGAATCATCGGTCAGGTGTCGGCCACAGATGACGACCCCTTCGATAAACTCAGTTATGCCATCACTCAAGAGGACGACAAACACCTGTTCTCCATTGACTCGACAGACGGGACTTTAGTAGCCTTTCCCGGACTGGACGCCGGCAAGTATAAGATCAATGTGACGGTCAGCGACGGCAAGTACTTTACGTACGGTTTGGTGGATCTGGAGGTGACGATCATCACCGACGATATGATCGCCAACAGTGTGGTCGTGGAGTTGCGATCGATATCTGTGAAGGAATTCATCACTAATTACAAGAAGACATTCATCCGAGTCTTTAAGAACGTATTCAACGTCCGCGTGAAAGACATTGTGATAATCAGTATTCAACCGACGGATCACAAGAACACACAGAACAGACTCCGAAGGAGTCACGAAAATCTGGGAGACATTAGCGTACTGTTTGTCGTCGCGCGCAGTCGTGGCGGCTATTACTCGAGACAATGGATCAAAACCAAAGTCTCTGAGAGTAAGAGCGGTATTGAGAAGCAGTTGGGAATACTTCTGGAGGACTTCATCATGAAGTCCGAGTGTCAGCACATCCACTGCAAGCACGGCGAGTGTCGCGACGAACTCATTCTCAGCGAAAACGATGTCATCTCTATTGTCAGCTCTAAACTCAGTTTTGTGTCACCATTTCATGAGCACCGGTACGGCTGTGCCTGTCATCCCGGGTTCGGTGGGAAGCTGTGCGAAGTGATCGTCAATGAGTGCGCCCGAAATCCCTGTCCCTCGTTCAAGGAGTGTCTGCCGGTGTCGTCCCCACTGGGCTACCTGTGCCACTGTCCGTTCGGCAAGTCTGGACCCGTATGCAACCAAAACGCCGAGACCTGTCATACGAGTGATCGCGACGTCTCCTTTTGCTACGAAGGTTTGCCTACCATTTGAATTGTCTTTTACCAGATTTACTGATTGCTGTGCGTATTGAACGCCATTTCCCCTCCAGAGCTGAATCCGATCTCATTTCAAGGCAACTCTTACGCCAGATATTCCCTCCACAAGAAAGTCGAGAAAATATCGCTACGTTTTAAGAGCCAACAGCTGAGGGCCAACGTCTTCACGCAAAGCGGCGACAAGTCCTACAATGTACTGGAGATCGCCGGCGGATACATTCAATACCGTTTCGACTGCGGCGACGGCGAGGGACTCATCCGTATCGAGAATCTGGTGGTCAGTGACGGCAAATGGCATGAGATTCTCGTGGAGCGCAAGAGCAACACCGCGTCGCTCACTCTGGACCGCAAATACCGGGGCGGAGGGTTCGCCCCCGGGATCGCCGGCTGTCTCCACCTCAACGCCGACCTATTCTTCGGCGGTTCAGTGAAACCGCGCTCTAATGCCATCGGCGGCGAAGAGATTACCCTGGGATTCATCGGCTGTCTCGACAACATCCTCATCAATGGTCAACAGATACCGCTACACATGGCGTCGGTATCGTCGGCCGCGGTGCTCAAGACGTTGGCGAACGTGGAGTTTAGCTGTAATTTCAAGCCCGACGTCGGTATCTGTAAGTCTCAGCCGTGTCTTAATGGCGGGTCGTGTCATAACCTCGTGAACGGGTCGTACCAATGCGTGTGCGTCGGCCCGAAGTACAGGGGCGTCAACTGCGAGATCGATGTGAGTCCGTGCGATACCATCCCCTGTCTGAATGGTGGGCTGTGTCGACACGACGAGGCCCTGTGCCGCACAGGGATAGCCAACTGTTACAAATGCGAGTGCGGCCCGAGTTTCACGGGTCTTAACTGTCAAGTGCCGCGATTCTGTTCATCCAATCTCTGCCAAAATGGCGGCGTCTGCGAGGAGACCACTTTGGGACCCAAGTGTCACTGCCACCAGGGCTGGCACGGCCTCTACTGCCAGTACGACATCGACGAGTGCCAACTGTCGGCGCCGGTATGCATGAGCCCGGCCACCTGTATCAACCTGCCCGGCACTTTCCGGTGCATCTGTCCCATGAACAGCACCGGTATCTCGTGCACCGGCGAGGGACTGTACGCCACGAACATCATATCGTCTCAGTTGCACATAACGCTCGACGAGATAATCGGCATTTTGGTGGTGCTGTCGGTGCTGGCGGTGACGGGCTTTATATTCGCCGTCTGCATGAAATGCAAACACAAGTCGCAAACGCACCGCACCTTCAATAATAGGGATCAGAGTCAGCGACTGCTGAAGAATGAGATCAACGTTCAGCTGAAGAGGCACTCGAAGATGAGTAACTTTGAGATGAGTCACACGAGTAAACCATTCCTCGGCCAAAGGCCCACCTCTTGCGCCGATCCGCTCCAGACGCTCAACAACTTCAATGAGGACCGCAGTGGCGATGAGTTGGAGACCAATATATGCGCTCAGAATATGCGGCAGAACTTCCAGAAGAAGAGCGCTCCCATCGCCAGTGTTTCGCCGCAAATGATTGACTCAAATGCAAAGTCCGCGTCAAAGGACTCTAAAAAGCAGATTAAAATACTTAACGGTTTGTGTGAATTGAATGGTTGTGTGGTTTTGCGGGTGTTTTCAACAGTTTTTGTGTCCTAACAGATGCCAAACCTTCGGCGTGTAAAGCGTCGACACCTCCGACGAGAGTCTCGTTCGGCGACTCGGATTCAAACGGTGAGTAAAATGAGTGGAAATGTATTCATTTTGGGGCCCTATTTGTGGTGATTTGGTGTGACTAACAAATACTATGTATTACTCTAATGACTGACATTAGAAACGCTAATAACTAATGATATTTGTGTCAAATGTTTGTATTTAGTGTTCACTGAAGAGCAGACCTCCTTAACTAACTCTCAGATCGCCGACGGTATTAATCATTTGCCTAATAATTGCATGAATTTTATTGACAAATACTGTAGTAATTGAATGAATCACACTAACCCTGTTAACTGTTGTTGTGTGCACCCCTCCTATCACCCAGGTTACCATTGGGACAGTTATGATTTGGCCCAATCGGACAATAAACCCATTTCCTCTTCGAATCTGTTCGAGGTATCAGTGAATGAGATCCACGACTTGGAGTCCAACTCAGACAACAGTCAAATTGAGTTGTCGTGCAATGGCTCGCAGGAGCGGGCGTTCATCGAGCGGGCCGTCAGTCACGAGAGTTCACCGCTTTTGTCGCGCAATGACGGCCCCAATGAAGACATTCCGTTCGCCGACACGTCGGAGCCGTCGTCCCCTCAAAAGTATCTCGACTTATATCTACCGAATCTGTCGGACAACGAGTGGACGAGTAATAAGCGGAAGAATATTCTCGCCTATACTTCGCCGACCACCGACTCGATGGCAGATAATATCAATGGTGTGGAGGAGTGCGAGAAAGTGGCCAAAGACTGCAATAATGGCTGCGATTTAGACGTCGAGAGCGAGTGCGAGGAGTTTGACGAGGAGTCCAATCAACAGTCGACTTATGTCTAGGAGTGAAATGATATGATCTTAAAGTTACTATAAGTTATCAAAATATTTATTGATTTTTTATGAATTATTTATGAATTTTTATGATTTATCAATTATTTGATATGATTTGTATTGTTTTTATTAGTTTTTGTTTTTTAAATCAATTGCAAATTCAATCAAAATCGGTCGTCAATTGTATGACTGAATCCATTTATACTGTGTTTTATTGAACTCGCGATTCAGTTGTGAATTCAATTTACTTCTTACGAGTCGTTTCTTAGTCTTTCTTGAAATATTATACAGTAATCCTTAAAAAAGTTTTACAAGTTTTTTACAATCATTTTTGTAGTTAATTCATATGAATAATTGTATCATTTATGCGCAACTTTTCAGTATTTATTTTAATTGTGAGAAACAAAATGTTTTTAGATTTTTAAAAATGAAATTATAATCTATTCTTATCTCGAAAAAGATGACTAAAAGCTGTTTTGAAACTATTGTATGATTTTATTGATACAGAAATCTATTGACAGATAATATAAGATATAAACTATAAGAATGAGTAACTTTTTATATGATATATAATTATTGCCATATTTTTCAGATAATGAAATGAAAATGTAAATTATAATTTGTATAGTATTTAAAATGTGTTTAATAAAGTAAATAAATAAAATTACAATTTTTAACAATTTGTTTGTAGAAATTGACTTTTTTAATTTACT